TATATTTATATTTTACCTTTTTTAGCCACACAGGTTTTTTTTGCATATCTTGTGCAAATCACTTTTTGTTTTACACACACCATACAGACACCATGACACAGACAGACACACACCATACAGACAGACACACACACCATACAGAGAGACAGACACCATAACACACACAGACACACACACCATACAGACAGACACCATGACACAGACAGACACACACCATACAGACAGACAGACACACACACCATACAGAGAAACAGACACCATAACACAGACAGACACATTACTAATACCTGCTAGGGGGAGGTCTTCTGGGGGCCCCTGGGGAGGTCTTCTGGCGGCCACTGGGGGACTTGTCCTGACGGCTGCTGGGGGAGCTGCGCTGGCTCTGCTCTTCCGACCTCGCGCGCTGCTGAATGAGACCGGCGCCGGAATATGACGTCATATTCCGGCACCGGTCTCATTAAGCTGCGCGCTGGGGAGCAGAGACAGCGCAGCTCCCCCAGCGGCCGCCAGGACAAGTCCCCCAGTGGCCGCCAGCAGACCCAGGTGTCTGCCCGGCCCCAGGTGCCGACGGCCCACCGGGAAATTTCCCGGTATCCCGGTGGGCCAGTCCGGCCCTGCCCCAGCGGTGATCGGTCTTCTTCTTTGGGGGGACTCTCTGGGCTGAGCCCAGAGAGTTCCCCTTCTCCAATTTAGGACCCCCAGGGGCCATGTGACCGCTCTAAATAATAATGAAAAATAAACTGTAAAAATTCATTATTAAAACATTATGTATATAAATATGTCATTTTGTTCTTACTGTATTTTGATATAAATATATATATATATATATATATATCAAAATACACTTAGAGTTAAATTATATATATCTATGTATAATTTCCCCTTAACGACCGAGGACAAACTAGGTACGTCTGACAAAAAATGGTCGTTATGGACATCCGTGAGAAATAGGAGCCATGGACCGACAATCTACAGAGACCCCAGCAGTCCCTCTACAGCAGCTGCCACCCCAGTCCTCCATGGCCATGTGATCACCATGATCACATCACCGCAATAGGACTCTAGGAGCTGCCAGCAGGGGGTCTGTCAGGCAGTCCCCCTGGCTGATAAAAAAATAATAAAATAAATATATTATACATATACAGTTGGTCCTCATTTATTGACCTACCTCTTTTTACCATGGCTCACACTTATGAGGGATTCCCTGCTTTGGTGCGTATGTCTATGTTCGGGAAAACGTCTCCGAACATAGACGAACACACCAGAGCAGGGAATCCCTCAAATCTATGTTCGGGGAAATTTCCCAGAACATAGATTAGAGGGATTCCCTGCTCTGGTGAGTACGTCTATGTTCGGGGAAATTTCCCCAAACATAGACAACTGCACCAGAGCAGGGAATCCCTTAAGTCCTCACTTACCGACCGATTTGTTCTACGACCAGGTCATAGGAAGGGAACCCGGTCGAAAAGTGAGGAGTGTCTATATTATATTTGTGTAATATATTATAAAATAATTAAATCATTTTATAATATATTATACATATATAATGCATCTATATGATTTCATTATAAGTGTACTTTGATATACATACACATATATCTCAAAATACACTTATGATGAAATCATAGATGCATTATATATGTATAATATATTATAAAATGATTTATAATTATAATATACATACAGTTGCAAGAAAAAATATGTGAACCCTTTGGAATGATATGGATTTCTGCACAAATTGGTCATAAAATGTGATCTGATCATCAACTAAGTCACAACAATAGACAATCACAGTCTGCCTAAACTAATAACACACAAAGAATGAAATGTTGCAATGTTTTTATTGAACACACCATGTAAACATTCACAGTGCAGGTGGAAAAGGTATGTGAACCCTTGGATTTAATAACTGGTTGAACCTCCTTTGGCAGCAATAACTTCAACCAAATGTTTCCTGTAGTTGCAGATCAGACGTGTACAACGGTCAGGAGTAATTCTTGACCATTCCTCTTTACAGAACTGTTTCAGTTCAGCAATATTCTTGGGATGTCTGGTGTGAATCGCTTTCTTGAGGTCATGACACAGCATCTCAATCGGGCTGAGGTCAGCACTCTGACTGGGCCACTTCAGAAGGCGTATTTTCTTCTGTTTAAGCCATTCTGTTGTTGATTTACTTCTATGCTTTGGGTCATTGTCCTGTTGCAACACCCATCTTCTGATGAGCTTCAGCTGGTAGACAGATGGCCTTAAGTTCTCCTGCAAAATAAACTTGGAAAGTCATTTTTCCTTCAACGATAGCAATCCGTCCAGGCCCTGACGCAGCAAAGCAGCCCCAAACCATGATGCCCCCACCACCATACTTCACAGTTGGGATGAGGTTTTTATGTTGGTGTGCTGTGCCTTTTTTGCGCCACACGTAGTATTTTGTGTTTCTTCCAAACAACTCAACTTTGGTTTTATCTGTCCACAGAATATTTTGCCAGTACTGCTGTGGAACATCCAGGTGCTCTTGTGCAAACTGTAAACGTGCAGCAATGTTTTGTTTGGACAGCAGTGGCTTCCTCTGTGGTATCCTCCCATGAAATCTATTCTTGTTGAGTGTTTTAAGTATTGTAGATTCACTAACAGGGATGTTAGCATTTGCCAGTTACTTTTGTAAGCCTTTAGTTGACACTCTAGGATTCTTCTTCACCTCACTGAGCAATCTGCGCTGTGCTCTTGCAGTCATCTTTACAGGACGGCCACTCCTAGGGAGAGTAGCAGCAGTGCTAAACTTTCTCCATTTATAGAAAATTTGTCTTACCGTGGACTGATGAACAGCAACGCTTGTGGAGATACTTTTATAACCCTTTCCAGCTTTATGCAAGTCAACAATTCTTAATCGTAGGTCTTCTGAGAGCTCTTTTGTGCGAGGCATCATTCACATCAGGCAATGCTTCTTGTGAAAAGCAAACCCAGAACTGGTGTGTGTTTTTATAGGGCAGGGCAACTGTAACCAACACCTCCAATCTCATCTCATTGATTGGACTCCAGTTGGCTGACATCTCACTCCAATTAGCTCTTGGAGATGTCATTAGTCTAGGGGTTCACATACTTTTCCCACCTGCACTGTGAATGTTTACATGGTGTGTTCAATAAAAACATGGCAACATTTCATTCTTTGTGTGTTATTAGTTTAAGCAGACTGTGATTGTCTATTGTTGTGACTTAGATGATGATCAGATCACATTTTATGACCAATTTGTGCAGAAATCCATATCATTCCAAAGGGTTCACATACTTTCTCTTGCAACTGTATATAGGAAATAAAAGTCTGTGTGTATATATATATATATATATATATATATATATACACACACACACACACACAGACACGTATTATGTGTGTGTGTGTATATATATATATATATATATATATATATAAATTTAAAAAACATTTATACAAAAACAAATAAAACCGCTAACTTTGGCCAGCGTTTGTGACTAAGTGGCTACAACAAAAGACTGGAAATACCCCATTTGGAATACCCTGGGTTGTCTACATTTGAAAATGGTATGCCATGATAGGGTTATTTCACATTCCTGAGCTATCCTTTTGGTCTCAAAAGGCAATAAAGGTCCAGCAAACCAATCTGGCAAACTAAATCGGGCAAGCCCTATATTGACCCTGTAACTTTCCAAACCACCATAAAACCTGTACATGGGGATGGTGTTGTTACAAACAGTGCATGGAAAGTGTTATCATTCCACCATTTGAAATACCCTAGGTTGTCTACTTTTCAGAAATATATGGTTTGATGGGGTAAATTACATTGGCCGGCTTAAAAAATGACCCAAATAGGACATGGGGGCATGATGACCAGCTGAGAAAATTCCGAGTTGGAAAATTGGAATGCCCACCCTCCAAATAAGGTCTTTTAGCCCCCAGAGAACCCAACCCACCTATATATCACTATACTCAGGAGATGTTGCTGAGCACATATTAGGGTGTTTTTTGGCAGTACCTCTTAAAGCTAAGAACATGTTAATATTTTTAAACTCAGGACAAAATTTAGAAACTATTTAGCACGGGTGTTTTATGGCGGTTGTAGATGCGTAACAGATTTTGGGGGTCAAAGTTTGAAAGAAATTAGTTTTTTTCAATTTTTTCACCATATTTTATAATGTTTTTAAAGTAAATTATATGACATGATGAAAATAATGGTAACTTTAGAAAGACCATTTAATGGCAAGAAAAGCTGTAAATAATATGTGTGGATACAGTAAACGAGTAAGAGGAAAATTGTAGATTATGCTAGCTTTAGTGTACCTATAATCTTAATTTTATTAATGACAGGAGGCGAGTATTTGCTTTAGTCTCTCTTTACTAGAACTCCACAGCAGCACAGAAAAACAACCAATCAGAAAAAAGATAGGTACTATAAAACCCCCTTCCCATTGCATCATTTCCTCTTTCAAGCTGCGACAAAACAGAACAAAGGCAGAAAAAATAATGGGAAGCAACGAAGTCCAGATACGATGAATACAGCAATGTCCAACGTCTGAGAAGAACTGTCAACCGGATAGCGTTGAAGGACTGAAAATAAGTCAATGCCCACCATCCACGAAGAAGTGCCACGCCAGATAGTGGTGAAGGACTGGAAACTGAAACGAGAGAAAAAACAGAATCGAACAGGTTGATTATCCAATGAAATGTATTTTGAATAAACTTGTAGATACCCAATGTAGCAAACGAAATATGTAGATATCCCAACCTTACTTAAGAAAAACAGACATAAGGACAGGTGACAGGTAGCAGAAACAACAAGCAGAGTTGTATACGTACCTGATAAATCTAAACTATAAAATTAAACAAGGGAGGGATAAGAATGGGTGGGAAATACTCGCCTCCTGTCATTAATAAAATTAAGATTATAGGTACACTAAAGCTAGCATAATCTACAATTTTATAACATGACAGGAGGCTTCGTATTTGCTATTTTAACGCTCAGCCAACAAATCCAACGCTGCTTGTTTCGCTGGTACCCATTCCGAGAATATTAGAGCAATCCTAAATGGACCTTCCAACTGCGAGAAGTGACCTCCATTGATAGATCCATTGTACGTGGGGTTACAACCTGTTCCCTAGCAGTCGGTCTATGGGCTGTCAAGTTGACCTATTAGCCATAGTCCTGTAGGTGTAAAGTGCCGAGGGGTCGCGAGAAGAGACTTCCACCGTGTCTCGACTCTTGATGTGGGAGGTGATTCCTCCGATCGTGTCAGGTTCACCAGGTGATGTGGCCTTGCAGACAAACTCCAACCTCAGGCCTGCGCCTAAGTCCACCGTCAATACTCGAATAGAGCCGAATAGTGTCTATTCGTTCCTTTATGACCTACCTGGTGAATGGTCTCCTCTGAAATAAAGTTATATACAGATAATAGTGTGGACCATACTAGCCGTATCCTAAGAGAATCCAGTCTACCAACTGGACTGCGTAATCCACGGCTGCGGTCTAGAAAAGACATCCAAAGGGCGTCCAATCAAGGTCTCAAACTGAACTCGTGTGGTAAACGGTGGTCAACTATTCTGAGAATTGTGGATCCTGGAAAGCTCAAAGGGATGGGACTGGAAACTGGAGTTGAGATTTCTATCCAAATATATCATCCTCTAAGAGTGCTAAGATGGCCGGATCCAATAGAGTTTAGGACCCGTATAACACAGAAGAGCCCTTGCGTGTTGCAGTGAGAGTGTGAGATACTCTGATTACTATTTGTACAATCCTGTTCCATGCCCGACCTGTCAATATTCGTGTAGGGGTTCCTGGCCTGCACGCCACCTACAAGATAGGGAATAATCTAGTGAGACCCCTAGGTTCCTGTCTCATAGACTGTCCAAGCATGTAACTCCCAGTGTATGTTTCCTTGATGGTAGTTGAATAGGAAGGCTAGTGAGAACCCAAACCAAGATGGTTCCCGTGATGGATATAGAAAACACTGTTCTCAAGGTGTGTTCAGAGTTGTAGGAGCAGTCCTGACAACTTTATCTCAAGATTGTAAGGACCAGGGAGCCAAGTCCTGAGAATTTCGGTTTCTCCATGCGATCCATGCATACGGTGCACCTGAAGACAGGTTATGTGAATTTTTCAGTCTTGTTACTCGAGCAAGGCAGTGCCCGTTTGCCCTATGCAGGTCTCAGGGTCTCATGTCACCCTGACATGGGAGAATAGACTGCACAGTTTGTACACAATAAATATCTGAAACAGAGTGCAATGTCTGTTTGATATAGCACAGGTTATACCAAAACCTGTACTCTTGTAAGAACTGAGGCTCCTCCTTAGTCGTACTGTCTCCTGGAATTTGTGTACATAAGTGGGAAACCTCCCCCACTAATACCTCTGAGGGCATTTCTCATGTGGATACAAGATGGATCCAGTCAAACTATGTATACCTTGCCCGATCAGGTAGCCCTCTAGAACGAAATCAGTAGCGTGGTCATCATATTTAAATTGGGTGTAGGAGGGACGCCCCTCTATGCGGTCATAGTTGACCTGTACAGGTACAAGCCTGTGTGAGGAACAAATGGACGGCACCATAGTGCGTTGAGTGTATGAGAGAGTCGCACTCTGTAAAATGTTATCGCACTCTGAGTCCGCGCACGGTTGGTGGTATGAGCGGACCGCACCCGTTAGAAGTCAAACTTAGAGTCTACCTCTGTGTCCGGTTCCTGAGAATGAGTCACTCGGAGCATGTCCTCTATATCCAGCTCAGTATCGGGCCGAGGTTGAGGGAGGGCCGCGCCCTTTAATAATGAATCAGTGTCCGATTCGGTAAATGAGAGGGGTTCACCCTCTACTCTTGAAAATAAAAATATCAGTCTCGGGCCGAGGTGAAGGAGGGCCGCACCCTCTCTAATCCAAACCAGAGTCCAGTAGAGACTCAGGGTGACCAAACGTGGGGTTACACCCTTATTTAATATAAGCAAAGTATACAACCTCGGGCCGTGTCCGACCTTAAGAGAAAGGGATGATGAGAAAAATACGTTTCGGAGCTGAAGATGGTAACTATCAACGGACCGCCCGGATCCCGTGCGTGCGCGCGGGCTCCAGGATGACCGTCGGTAGTCTGAGGAAAGCTGGAGACGTTCTCCGCAATCCACAAGTGCCTGGGAGGTCGGAGGAGGTCATATCAGGCCTCCCGACGACCCGAGCGATAGGACAATAGAAGGCACGAAAAACAAAGAAACGACCAATGAAGTAGAAAATGGAAAATACGTAACTCAGAAAGCCGGTCGGATAGCAGACTGGAAAAAAACGAATCAAGCGAATCCAGTTGAAAAGGTCAAGAGCTAAACATGACATAGAAAAACACTACCAATACCTAATATGGCGTCTGAGCACTGTTCCCTGCTTGCGCGAAATTCCCCTTGGAGATGTGTCGTAGTTGGGTATAACCCGTAATTGCGTGCCCATGAATTCTCATAAAACCTTGCCCTTCAGGGCATGAGGTGTAGGGCCTTCACCCTTCCAATCACAGTTAGATGTCCATATCCTGGTATCCTCTTGGATAATCTGGCAGCAGTGCCTGTCCGGACACCTACCTAGAGGGTACTGAGCTTACTTCAGTGATATTCCCCCCGGTTTGTGGTCCAAAGGGGGGTTCGGGTACAGGTAGAGCAGGCCAATCTTATGGGCACAGCCGAAGCAGGCCAATCTTATGGGCACAGGCGTAGCAGGCCAATCTTATGGGCACAGCCAAAGCAGGCCAATCTTATGGGCACAGCCGAAGCAGGCCAATCTTATGGGCATAGCCGAAGCAGGCCAATCTTATAGGCACAGATGTAGCAGGCCAATCTTATGGGCACAGACGTAGCAGGCCAATCTTATGGGCACAGACGTAGCAGGCCAATCTTATGGGCACAGACGTAGCAGGCCAATCTTATGGGCACAGACATAGCAGGCCAATCTTATGTTTCATATTAAATGAGTAATGGGGACCTCTGAGATTGGCAGAGTCCCCTAAATATCTGTAAATCCTCCAGGCATCCTGTGACCTAGTACCCTTAGACACTAATCTTGGACAGCGTACTACTGTGTAAATAAACCGTAACCGGCGGTCCCTAAGTGCCCAGCAGGCAACATAGAGGTAAAACCAATTGTATTGGGTTTGAGCTGGACATGTTCCAGTGAGTGTCCATAAAATCGAGCTCTGCTGAGCAATACCCTCTTTTAAGTGTAAATTGTAATGCACATGTACATACAGATCCGTATGAGATATCTTATCTTTATTGTAGGTCATCATCATCATCGTACCGCCTGAAGGGTATTGTACTCATGGTCTCTTCAGGAGTAGGGCAAAAACAATTGCCAACGCAATGAATCTTCCCAAGAAGCCTGATAAGATAGAATAGTATCGGCATAGACAGGACTGACATCTACCGTCAGTGAAACTCACAGCAATCCGTGATATCTATAGCACTAAGACTCACAGCAAGCCGTGCTATATACACTGACATAGAACTCACAGAAATCTGTGATTTATGTATACACTGTCCTATAACTCACAGAATCCGTGATAAAAGTATATACTGCCCAAGGATTCACGGAAATCCGCGATATATATACACATGGAAACTCACAGTAATCCGAGAAATCTGATATTTAGACCTGGAAATTCACAGCAATCTGTGATATATCTACATATGGAAACTCACAGTAATCTGTGATATATCTACATATGGAAACTCACAGAAATCTGTGACATATACACATAGCAAACTACCAGTAATCTGTGACATATACACATAGCAAACTACCAGTAATCTGTGTAAATAAACACATGGCAAAACTACCAGTAATCTGTGTAAATAAACACATGGCAAAACTATCAGTAATCTGTATAAATAAACACATGGAAAACTACCAGTAATCTGTATAAACACATGGCAAACTAACAGTTATCTGTACAAATAAACACATGGAAAAGCTATCAGTAATCTGTATAAACACATGGCAAACTAACAGTAATCTGTACAAATAAACACATGGAAAAGCTATCAGTAATGTAAAGGAAACATTCCCCAAAGAAAAGAAAAGAGCCAGAAAGGCACATAAATCTCACAAGCAAGCATAATTAATAACAATCATAAATAAATAACACTAAATCCCAAAGCCACCCACTATAAGCAGGAGGCAGTGGTACTCTGACCTGTACTGACTGCGGAGCAGCAAAGAAAGAGGGAATGATGTAATGGGAAGGGGGTTTTATAGTACCTATCTTTTTTCTGATTGGTTGTTTTTCTGTGCTGCTGTGGAGTTCTAGTAAAGAGAGACTAAAGCAAATACGAAGCCTCCTGTCATGTTATAAAATTACAGCTAAACACAAACACCGCAGAAATGTAAAAACAGCCCCGGTCCCAAACGGTAAGAAAATTGAAAAGTGGTCTGGTAACTAAGGGGTTAAAAGGTGGTCTACATCCCAAGTGTTACGGTACCTTCAGCATGAAATGTACAAACCGCCGTTTAGTGAATGCTCCCCGTTCGCAATAATGTTGTCTGGTAGCGTATAGAATACAAGCATGCGAACCACCAGCCAGGGAACACTCCAAACTCCCGAACGGTACCCGTACGGCTCCTTCCCTTCACGAGCTCCAAATACACGAACTGCCAATATCAGCCGAACGCCAATATCTTCCAAGCGGCAAATAATTCCAATGAGCAGTCTCTAGTCGCCAGTAATAAAATCCCCCCAATAACGAGACCAAGCTCCGCTTTGAAGGTAAAACACGAACTGAGTTTACTGTGGGCTACCTGCCCGTATTTATGCAGGTCTCCCACTTGGTGGACACTCCCCTAGGGGACCAAATGGGAGACTGGAACAGCAGATGGACATGGGGACATTTCAGACATACAATCCCACAATATTCCCAGCATGCATCACAGTTTCCTCCCCTCTGCTCAGGAGATAATTGAGAAGTAATTCAATTATCTCCCAGAGCAGAGGCAAATCGCCATTTTAAGTACAATTCATAAAACACATAAAAATACATAACTTTATAACTGCCGAACATATTACATTCGTGTAACACATCCCCAGATAGCCTGGATCTGAGTGCATATTATTGGCGAATAGCGCTCAGATCCCACACACATAGTTCAATCGCCATGGAGTCAAAGTCTATTACAGTTCTTCGGTATGCGATTGACTCCATGGGAAGGCTATCTGGGGTAAGTCCATTCGTGCCTTTAAACCTCTCGAACGGCCGGTGTTCGCATACTTCTGTCGATTGAGAAGGGAGGTCGACGGCTTCAGCGGTGTTCGGTTGAAAAAGTGTCCGTTTTTAGTTCCATGAAATAACCGTCGAACACCGCTGGTCTTTCGCATGGTTAAAATGGCCGCCGCCTCGTGGTCGACATACGAACGACGACCACCCTGTATTCGGTTTTAATTGAGAAGTGTCTGTGGTTAACCGCAACGTTCTAATTGGGATCAATAGGTTAACCAGCAGCACACTTCTCTTCTGGGTGGCCGTCCGTTCGGTAGTTCCGTTCGACAGAAAAATACATTCCCTTAAACAAGACATACGAATGGGGAAATTCATGCAAACGGCAAAACAGATGAACACAGCAATTCTAGTTCATACGGATGGGTCTGTCACACCAAGTAGATGTGTAACGTGGAAAATATGAGCGGTAGATTGATAACCCTTCTAGTAATCTCAAATACAGGGCATCCTGAGTATGGTTAGGGATAAGAAAATTTAAAGCGGATCAATAGGCCTTAATGGTACTGACTGATAAACCAGAATGGAATTTATGGGTAAGAAATTCTAAAGCCAATGGAATGGTGTCAGACCCAAGAGAAGTAGATAGAAAAGAAACCCCCTATTCTTTGAATTCCTTAATCATCTTTCTATATCTTACCCTAGTTTTGCGTCTTGAAGATGAATTAATGATTTCCAGGACCTGATCAGATGAAATGGGGTGTGTTAACAGCCTACCAGGGATGTGATGTACATCAGCTATGGAAGCTTGAGCAAAAGATTGTTGGTTCCCTGAGAGCAGTCCACAGTCAAGCACAGTGGGATCTTGGTTCCCTTGACCTACTTATGGATCAAGGGGTACCAGGATCTGGAGGTCCATACTAGGTAAACGAGAACTAAACTCTGTACCCTGTCCATGCAGATCTTCTCCAGCACTCTTATCAGTAAAGATGGAGGGGGGAAAGCATAAGGGATTGGAACATCTGTTCATTGGAAAGACAGTGCATCAATTTCCCAAGACCTCTTTGTCCAAATTCTGGAGAGTTTGTGCAGAAGTTTGGTATGCAAACAGATTTACTTGTCTCTGGCCAAAATTGCTTGTTATCCACTTAAATTTAACCATTGCCACAGACAAACTCTAGCGAGAGTGAGAATCTGCCAGCTCGTTTGCCTCTCCCGGAACGTATTTTGCGAAAACCCGAACTTTCAAACCCAATACCATAGATCTAGAGCCTCCAAACAAAGATCCATTGTTCTTGTGCCCCCCTCTGTGGTTTATATAAGCCACCGTTGTCCTATTGGACTTTTACCGATACCGGTAACTGGTTTAGAGGAACTAGGCTCTGGAAAGAGAATTTTATACAATTTTTCTTAACTCCAAGATGTTTATATTAAGGAGTAGTGATGTCGCGCTGCCTTCAACATGGATGCTGTCCAGGAAGTAGGAGGGTCTGGGAGGGTCTGCCGGAGATTGGCAGGGATGTGTCAGCTGACCGGAGTTCACAAGTTTGCGAACGGTTCGCGACATCACTATTAAGGAGTCTCTTTTGGTCTGACCAAATTCCTCTTATCGTGTTTTGGGTTGTAAGCCCACCACAACCATGATTTGAGGCATCTGACAGAGTAACTGCAAATGGGTGCTCTAACAGGGGAAGGGGAACCCCAAGTTAGACTTCAGGGCCGGACTGGCCCACCGGGATAGCGGGAAATTTCATGGTGGGCCATGGCACCTGGGGCTGATCAGACAGCCCTAATCATCAGGATAATGCCACCTAAATGATTTTCCCCTCGGATTGTGCCAGCCTGTACCAGTCAGAGGGGAGTAAAGAGGGAGGAGCTGGGGCTATCAGTCTCCCTGCACAATTGACATCAATTACGTTTGCATGCCCCGCCCCTGCACTTAATCCCCACCTCTCAATCACACGCTTCACCCCCCACAGAAGTTGCTGACCTTGCTGAAATGGAGAGACCAGACATTGACACCTTCACCTACCAGTGCCGGGTAAGCTTTGTGTGTGAGCATGCTAGTGAGTGAGCTTGTGTGTGTCTGTGCCTGCTAGTGAGTGAAGCTTATGTGTGTGTGTGCATGCTAGTGAGTGAGCTTGTGTGTGTCTGTGCCTGCTAGTGAGTGAAGCTTGTGTGTGTGTGTGCCTGCTAGGGAGTGAGCTTGTGTGTGTTTGCCTGCTAGTGAGTGAGCTTGTATGTGTGTGCTTGCTAGTGAGTGAGTTTGTGTTTGTGCCTGTTAATGAGTGAGCTTGTGTGTGTGTGCCTGCTAGTGCGTGAGCTTGTGCCTGTGTCAGTGAGCTTGTCTGTAGGGATCGTGTGTGTCAGTGAGCTTGTCTGTAGGGAGCATGTGTGTGCAGTGAGCTTGTCTGTAGTAAGCATGTGTGTGACCGTAAACTTGCCTGCAGTGACCGTGTGTGCCAGTAAATTTATCTGTAGTGAGCATGTGTGTGTCAGTGAGCTTGTCTGTACTAGGCTTGTGTGTGTATCAGAGTTTGTCTGTACTAAATTTGTGTGTGTACCAGTAACCTTGTCTGTGTGTGTCATTGAGAATGTTTGTCAATGAGCCTATTTGTGTGCATCAGTAAGATTGTCTGTGTCTGCATGTGAGTATGCTTTACGGCAGGGCTGTCCAACCTGCGGCCCCCCTACAACTACCATGATTCTTTCAATGAAACAGATAGCCAGGGAATCATGGAAGTTGTAGTTCAGCAACATCTGGGGGGGCCGCAGGTTGGACAGCCCTGCTTTACAACATAATTTAATTACCCCGAAAGGACTAATATTTATATATATATATATATATTTGTGTGTGTGTGTGTGTGTATATATATATATATATATATATATATATATACAAAACACACACACTGCATAGCACAATGACTTATGGGGCTGGCATAGATTTATTTCCAGGGCTGCTTCGTATCCACAGTCCAGCCTTGGGGGCAGTGTGTATGTGGGGCAGTGTGTATATGGGGGGGCTGTGGGGGCAGTGTATATATGTGGGATCAGTTTGTGTGTGGGGGCTGTGTGGGCAGTGTGTATATGTGGGAGCAGTGTGTCTATAGGTGGGGCTGTGTATATGGGGGGCTGTGGGGGTAGTGTGTGTATAGTCTCGTGCTCGCGAGAGGAGACCCAGCAGAGCTGCAGGCTAGAGCTCCCAGGTCTCCTCTCCCTCCTGTGCCGGCTGCCCAGCAATATGCCTGCGGACTGGTGAGGGAGATCTATGATCTCCCCTCCGGTCCGTGAAGGCACTTAGCAGGGCTGGCGCTTGGTTAGAACTGGCCATGCAGGAGAGAGCATTGGCTCTGCGCCATTCCCCTCCCCCCCACCCAGATCTGCCATTGTCCGTAACTAAAACAAAATTCTTCTACAAGGTAAGTGTTTTATGACAAAAAAAGTGCTTTACATATAGAAGGTAGCAGCTCTCCACTCAAAGGTGGGATACCCTTTTTTTGTAGATGTTTTGTAGAAGGAGGGGTTTGAAGATTTTTTTTTTTTTATTGCCTATTACTGTTGTAGTAGGCAATAAAAAAGAAAAATTTGAATACATTTAAAAAAAATAGTGGGTGTTTTTTTTACATTTGAATTGGGGGAGGAGGGTGCCAAAAGCTCTAGGTATACCCCTGAGCCAATTATATTCTGTGCTACTCCTACACAGCTTCCTCACCACCCGACAGTGAGCTGCTGGGCACGCGAGGGACATGTGCATGAAGAGCACAGAGGTCCCAGGCTCCAACTCAGCAGCAACCACTGGCCTCCAGGAAGAGGATCCATTACAGCGCTCCCAGAGCAAGTTAGGGAGGCTGGGTAAACATCTTTAGTATTACATGTGTGTACATGTGATTTTTGTGTATGTTTTGTCAGTGATTGGCTGTGTGTGCAGGGATCTGTGGACATGTCAGGGATTGTGTGTGTAAGTTTGTGATTATGTGTGTGGGTCTGTGATTGTGTGTGTATATCTGTGATTGTGTGTGTGTCTTTGATTCTGTTTGTATGTATGTGATTGTGTGTATAGGTGTGTGATTTTATGTGTGTGTATCTGTGTATGTATGTGATTGTGTGTGTGTGTGATTGTGTAAATAGGTCTGTGATTGTGTGTAGGTCTGATTGTGGGTGTATGTATGTATGTGATTGTGTGTATAGGTCTGTGATTATGTGTGGGTATATCTGTGTATGTGTGTGGGGGGGTCTGTGATTGAGTGTTGGTGTATGTATGATTGTGTGGGGGGGTGTCTGTGATTGTGTGTGTCTGTGTACATTTGTGATTGTGTGTATGTATGTGCTGTGTATGGTTATGTGATTGTATGTGTGTGTGGGTCTGTGATTTTGTGTGTGTGTGTGTATTTGTGATTGTGCGTATAGGTCTGTGATTGTATGTGTGTGTCGAGATTATGTGTATAGATTTGTGACTATGTGTATAGGTCTGTGATTGTGTGTGTGTGTGTGTATCTGTGGTTATGTGTGCATACATATATACATGTGTATGTGTTTATAAAGTCTGTGATTGTGTGTGTGTGTGTGTGTGTGTATCTGTGGTTATGTGTGCATACATATATACATGTGTATGTGTTTAGTTGATAGCGCCCTAATTTGATATCCTTAAATATGCCAATCCCACACAATGATAATAAGGGAGTTATCTACTAAACAATTTAAATATCAAAATTAAGACAAGGGCTTTTAAAGATATATTACTTATATACATTATCTATAATCTATATTATATATTTGATGTGTGGCCCAAGACAATTCCTCTGCGCTCAATGGGGCCCAGGAAAGTCAAAAGGTTGGACACCCATGCTTTACAACATTAATTTGTGGTATAAGCCAAAGGAGTATGTAATTCTGGTGACATCTAATGTAACAAATACGCAACTACAGGTGACTTCTATAATCACAGAACTCTATGTCACTCTGTAGCGGTGTTTTGGATGTCAATAAAGCTTGTTTGCGTTTCACTTGGGACATGCATGCCCGCCGGGCCCTTTTGTACGGTGGCAATGCATGATGAGATTCTGTGCGCCAGGGCATGCGACGGATTCGAAGGAGATGTCCGTGTGTGCATGCGCTATGACCCGAGTGAGGGCTAAGATCACCGTATTTAGGAAGATACAAGTGACGAGAAGTTCAGATTCATATTGGCTCTTGAGGAAGTTCTGTCCGAGACGGGACGAAACACATAGAGCAGCACCAGCACCAGCAGTATCAGCATCTACATCTTGTACATAGACCTCTCTCCACCACTCTGTCTGTATCGTAAGGTATCCTACAGCCCCTCGGAGTCGCAACCAAAGAGGCTTGACTATATTGATAGGCTACCTGCAGTGGTTATTTTTAAGACTCTTTTTAGGTCTTGGAATAGTACGGATAAATGGTTAATGTTTGTACTGTGCACTTTTCTCTGTCTATTTTTTAAGATTATATGAAATAAACTGTGTTATTTTATTACACAAATTTGTTTTATTTCAACAAGTATTATATATACCTGTACTTTTTATACATTTGCAAATTTCACTTTTTGTTTAGATACCTAGCGCCCTCTCGTGTTTGGTTGAAGATTCTTTTTTACCTTTCACACATATTTTGGCTCCAGTATATCTGCTCTGCACCTTTGCTGGAGGCAGATTTCTCTCACAAGCTCTGGTGTTCAGTCACAGTAACGAGTTAACGGGAGCCATGTAGTTGGCCTGCTCCCAGTGGTGGTGCTCTCTTCCCCTCTCTAAGAGCTGGCACTACAATGAGGTGGTACAAGTTTAGGACACACCTGCCCAGAAGTCTTAATGTCCGGGTGACTGGCAGGATGCGGTTTGGACATCTGTCATCCTATTGCCAGTCACTCCACTAGCATGACCTTACAGGCCTGACAGTAGAGGTTCTTATGTATCCTCTACCTGGTCAGACAGGAAGCTACTCTCTGGGAGCAGTGAGCAGCTTCATATCAGACGGTGTAGAGAATAAAAAAGACACTCTTCCAGGCTACCACAGGAGGTAAACAGGTACGCATGGGGTCAGTGGGATAGACACACGGGGGGAGAGAAAGGCACACACACAAAGAGTCTGGGGGGATATGAGACACACCTGGGGGGTGTAAGACACAAAAAGGGGATGACATTTAAAAGAGGTGATAAGAAACAAAGTTTGCTAAAGATGGTAAAAAGTGAGTGACACAGGTGAAAACTCATTTGGTGGGTGCAGGGCTGGTTTGCAGTGTGTCTGTGTGTTGGGGTGCAGTATGCCTGTGTGCTGGGGATGTAGTGTGTTTGTGTGTTGGGGATGAACTGTTTGTGTGCTAGGGATGTAGTGTGTGTGCTGGGGATGCAGTGTGTCTGTGGGCTGGGGATGCAGTTTGTGTTTGTGTGTGGGGATGCAGTGTGTCTGTGTGCTGGGGGTGCAGTGTGTCTGTGTGCTGGGGGATTGGCAGCCAAACATGATACTTACCTTTGTATTATCAGTGGTCAGCTGTGTATTTAATGCAAGGCTGGCAGGCATTTGCCTTTGGAGGCACTTTCAGGGGGTCGTCAAAAAAGCCACCCCAATCGCCCTGTCAGATGCCTTGCCGGCCTCTTGTCCTGGTGGCCACCTCACGGACTGCGCGCCTTGCAGTGATGACGTAGCCGGAATATGATGTCACTCCGGCCCCGGCATCACTAAGAGGTGCGCGAGGGAGCTGAGCAGGAGGATCGGTGCTCTCTCGCTGCCCACTTCCATCACTCACCTGTCTGCAAGACCCCCCAACCACCCGCCTGCCTGCCAGCCAAGCTGCAGCCAGCCCCACTGGACCACAAGGAAAAATCCACTCTAGCACTCCCAAAGGTAGGAGGCTGGGTGGATTGAAACTTATTTTATTTTTTTTTAATTGTGAGTGTGTTAGTGTGTGTGTGTGTTAGTGTGTCTGTTAGTGAGAGTGTGTGTGTGAGTTTTAGTGTGTCTGTTAGTGAGTGTGCCTGTTAGTGAGTGTTAGTAAGTGTCTGTCACTGAGAGTGTATATGTGTTTGTCAGTGAGTGTGTATGTATGTTTGTCAGTGAGAGTGTATATGTGTTTGCCAGTAAGTGTCTCTGTGTCTATCGGTGAATGCGTATCTGTCAGTTAGTGTATATGTCAGTTAGTGTATATGTGTGTCTGTCGGTGAGTGTGAGTGTGTGTGTAACTGTGAGTGTAACTGTGAATGAGTGAGTGTGTATGTCTGTGAATGTGTATGTTTCAGTGAAAGTGTGTGTGACGAAGTGCCCTTCGCCACTTGTGCCTGGAGAGGACTGCTTGCCCGCCTCTTGCCCTGTGACTATGGCCCCTGGGATGTATTGCCCTTTAAAGACATGATTTGGGCATAATGGATTTGTGTTTTGCTGCTGCTGGCCCTTTAAGAACCATCTGGGGACATACTGTGGAGTTACTGGGTGGCCACCATTTCCTGTATCAGAAGCACATGGTGAGAACAATGGATGGCGGCCATTTTAACTCACAGACACTGTTTGGACTTTTCAACACGGTGCCATCTCGCCAGTATTTGGTGCACAGAGACATCGTGCAGTGGTTTTGGACTATACAGCAGGGGACACATTATAAAGTGATTGTTTTTCATTTAGCCTGTATATGTTCTGCAGAATCTGCATTAAACTGTATTTTCCAAAGTACTGAACGGATCTGGGTGAATTTTGGATATGTGGTTCAACCAGATGGGGTTATTGCATGAATTTGGTTATTTTTATGGTGTTATTGCATGTTTTGGGGTCCCTGTGTGTTTTATGAAACTGTATAATTTCTGGCCAGCAGATAATTGAGCTTTGTGTATTGTAGAAACTCAATTATCTAGCCTGGCCCAGAGGAGGAGTTTTGTGTTGCATAAATTGTGAGTTCTGTGTGCCAGTAAATTAGTCTTGTTCCAGCATTAAGCCTTGGCTCATGTTTGGGGGAAGGGATACCTACACTCTGGGGATTGCTATAATCACTTACTCCCCAGAGGAAGCTCTTGCAATAGCTTGATTTGTTCCTGTTCCTGCTCTCTGGGGAAAGAGAGGTTCACCCACTGGAAGCTGGATCCTGGCCTTGGGTCCAGGGTGGGTGGAAACAGCAGAGACCCCGGCGCAGTTGCATCGCTGGAAGTGGGGTCTGCAGTGCTGATGGTGTCGGTTGGAGTGCTTGGAGTCCTCAGCGAGCACTAGGAGCATCGATTGGCGGAGGTACTCAGTCGGAGTGCCAGCGTTCCATCACAGTGTGAATTGGTTAAACAATGTGTGTGACAATGACTGTGTATCTGTAAGCATATGTCAGTGCATGCATCAGTGAGGGCATGTGTCTGTCAGGAAAATAACTTTGGAAGGCAGAGCGGGGATGGGGGAATGCCTAAGTTATGTCATACCTAGGGCAGCACAAAACCAGAATACACCACTGTCTGTGGTGGTATGGTTCCTGGCTGCAGTGGAGTCTGAACTGACTCCTAGATGCTCTGCATCTCATGACCCCATTGCTGCTTGCTCAGTCCTGGCTTCTGACTCCTGGACTCTGTGTCCTGTCACTTGTGCTGCGCTGTGAGTGGTCGCAGTACACACAGAGCCAGACACTGAGAGGATTTCTGCTCTTTAACCACAGAGCACTCGAATTAAATACAGTAACAACTGTAGCTCTGACATGTGCGGCAAGTAATCACAGTGCGCAGGAACATCTGTGGGGAATGTGAGCATAGCCCCGAGTCCCAGTTCAACCTCCCCCTGATTTTTTTAAACAATTGATTTGCGGTTGGTCCAGTCCACCATGGCGGAGCTTTCGCCAACTGCAATAATATCAGGGTAGGCATTACAAAGTTCCGCCTAGAGACATGGTCCCACTGGGCCCTATCGAAAAGCCGGCCCTGGGTGGGCGGCAAAATGCATCTTTGCCTGTTCACCTAAAAATCCTTTGGTTTTGTTTTACATTTAGCCATTTATTAGTTAGCTCTGGGTCTCCTCTTCTGGCCAAGGACAGAACTGGGGACTCGGGGCTAACAGTAATAAATACTGCAATAGTAAAAGCGCTTTGGAGTGTTTTTTTTTAAATTCTTTATTTTAGTGTGCAGTAAAAGAATAACATACAAGCTCACATAGCCACGACAGCATCCGCGGGCTTATTATGGTCAAACATTTGCATATATTGCCATGACATTTAAAACAATTGCACTTTTTTGGTGTAAAGAAACAGGCTGAATTTTATCACATGACAGGAGGCTTCGTATTTTGCATAATCTTTCTTTACTATCTCCATAGCAGCAAAGAAATGAGTGACAAAACTTTTAACCAATCACAACGTAGAATAGGGTATAAGAGGTGAGACCTATGACATCATTTCCTCTTTCTTTGCTGCTCCATCACAAGCTAAGTACCAAATTTTGTATTATCTATTCAACATACACTTTTCATTTACATGCCTTTTGTTTTCACTGTACCTTTATATATTTACCCTATTAATGCTCTTAACCCCTGTATACCAGGGGACCCTGTCTGGCTCCCTAACTGTCTTTCACGGCTTTCCCGCCGTCTGTACTTTTCCTCCATTTTCTCTGTTTCTCTTTAACAGTTTTCTGTTCTTTTTACCGAACGCGTTATTCGGTAGTTTTGCGCATTCGCCTGTTTTACTCGAATGCCCGCGCGACCGCACATTGACTATTCGTTTCTAACTACCGAACGCTTCGTTCGGCAGTTTGACGCGATCGCCTTTTTAAACGTTCGCATCTATTTCTATTCGCACGTTCGGCAGTTCGCATAGATCTTCTATTCACGTTCGGCAGTTTTATGCGAATGGCAAGCTTACAGTTTGCCGCCCAAACTGGGGGAGGTACTATTCTCCACACACTGAGCCTGTCAGTCCGGCGGCCATCTTAAAGAGATAGACACTGCCTGATTTTTCTGCTCCTGCTATTCCAACAAGCAATTGAAAAGCCTTACCCTTTTTCACTCAGTGGGACCAGGTTAGTGCCTTACACTTGGGGTTGGTTTAGCCAGTTGGTCTGCACCTTATTCTGGCCGGGGTGAGCCCCCATTTTATGCTGCTAAACGGTCCTGTTTATGCAGGTTCCGATCACCTGGGTGAGCCCCAGTGAATCAGCCCTCTCCTCTACGACCTACCGGTCTCTAACCACAGGTTATTTAGTCCTGATACCATACCACCCCGGTCCCCAGGCCTCTCCATTAATCGTGCCTAGTGCCCTCACGCAATTTACCGGGTGAGCCCCGAATCCTCACTCCTCATAATGGAGGAA